ACCACTTTAGTCGATGATGTTTCATTACCTAACCATTCAACTTCCTTTATTCGCACAATACCTTTCATCTACCCTCAATCTTATTCCTTTAATGATTCTAACATGCGTGATTAATATTTGGAAGATATCTAATATTAAATACTAGTAACCTACACATATCCATTATACTTAAAAGTCACGTTTTACAGTCGTAATGTAAGACAACTGCTAGCTTCCTCTCTTTTTGTATTAAAAACAATGTATGCATGAGGTTCTCTGTGTTCTCTTTGATTACCGATTCACTACTCAAATGATTATTGATGAGGTGGATTCAGTAAAAATCACATGTGCACATAGTTCTAGCAAAACATTTATGGATCCTATAAAACTTGAAAGCATAGGGTATAACTAAAGAAAATCAACTTTTGGAGATTTACAGGAATGTCTTGAATAGTAAAAATGGAGGTGACACAGGTGTACTGACATAAAATTAAGAATATTTTAGAAGGAGATAAAATGACTGTACCTCGAAATTTGGTAAAACAACATCTATCTGAGCACAGTTCGTGTAGTCACAGGAAATTCTACATACTAGTCACATGTTTTGAATTATTAACAAAATAGAATAGAACATATTGATGAGAAGTATACTTTTCCTTAGATTGGCATATGAAAATTCTGATCAAGGTAGTAACCTTTGGTCACACACACACACACACACACAATAAACTGCAACAAACAAACTTTAGATCTTGGTATTAAACGTAATTAACTTGCCCGATTGAAAAGATGAATTTATCGGAGGGCCCGACCGTAGCTGCTACTTTTATACGGTCGTCGGGTTTACCTATCATGGTGATTCAACCGAGCTATATTGGTCGGAACACATGTTCCTTTACGTCCTACTACACCAGGCAGGTCGGTTGGAGAACGGTAAGTCTAAAAGCAGTAACTTAAGGCCCGAGAGCGAAGTTATACTACTGACTGTAGAGAGGTATGTTTCTGATGTGATGATCATCATAATGGACTTATCAAGACTCAAATGGATCACATTGCCATTAGCTATCGTTGGAAGGGTTCAATAGAACATTATCGCTCGTTCTGGAGCATAAATTTAGACTTGGATCATTTTCCAGTTCGAGCACAAATTTGTCCGCATCTTAAAGAGCGCAAAAAAGCAACAACAAAAAAACCCTATAAAATCCACCTGAATAATGAAAAAATTTGTGATATATATTTCAGGAACAACTACAGAAGCAGTTCATCAACCATGAAAATGATATCCACTCCGAGGTAGGTTGGTATTGATATTTAAAAAGCTGTGGAAATAGCAGTGATATCTACTAATAACATCGATAGCGTAATTCAGGACTGACAATTGGATTTAGTCATCCTAATAGGTCCACGTGATTGTCGTAACCAATGGTTAGAAAATTTAAATGATGTGGCCCAAAATTATTTGAAATAACACATGTGTATCCATTCTTTGTCTCCACCCCGAATCCTCAGATTCAAAATTCCTCATAGGTTTTTTTGTTTTTATTTCGCTAATTTATACTTTCTTTTCGAGTTGTATATTCGATACCTAATCTTTCCTATTACCACTGATGCTGTTACTATCACAACTATTCTGGGATTTGGTTTGACAACTTGATCTCGGTGTTGGAAAGATTCATAAAAAGTGCATAAACAGCTTTTGTCTACAAAAGGGCTATGGTCAAAACGATTTGAAACCTTATAAGACTGATTTAAAATCATCTTCTTGATTTTATCTCGTGGTACTGATTTATGAAATATGGCAACTTGAACCGATGCACGTATATGGCCACGTTCTACTTTGTTTATAACTGACATAACTGATTGACAAAATTATCTACCGTAAAACGATAGATAAGTTTAAGCACTTGTATGGCATATGGAGTATGAGAATTCACTGCTTAAAAACATCACATTCGTTTAGGAAATCAGTAATCTTGGGTCAAAGACCTGAAGGAGACCATAAGCTTTAATGTTGTTTTTTTTTTGCAGGATAAGAGGAAGTATTCATCTTGTAATGTGGTAACTTTAACCAATGCATATATATATATCAGGGGTTTTATATTATATAAATACATATATAATGACAAAAATAAGAATAAAACCCTAGATCGTACACATCTTCTAACTGGTTGCCTTCCATCATCACAATGTTGAAATCGGAAAAAAACACACACACACACAACGAATATTGATAAAAAAAGAGAAGCTATCCATTTTATTCTATACATACAAAGGACTGTTGCTATGTCTCCTTCTCTCTCTGGATCGTTATCTTTCACTTTTATGTCTTATAATTTCAAGGCACACCTTAGTAACAGTTAGATAAACAAACTATTTATATTGATGCCTACTATCCTGCTATCACTCACAATGATATATATATATATATATATATATATATATATATATATATATATCATTGTGAGTGATAGTTTCATTAATATTCACATTCATAGTCATTATTCACTTACTACAATGAGGAGTGTTTCACATCTATGCAGAAAGATAACAGAAGCTTTACAATTAAATTATTCAGTTCAGTATTCAACTCAACTTAAACAAACAAGTAACTATCAAAACTCAGTCAGTTAGCTACAATGTACGACCAGGCACGTATATGCATCGGTCCAAGTTGCCATACCGCATTAGCACAACAAGATCAACACCGGATTCATAGAAGTAGTTAATTCAATGGTGGTAGTATATAAAAGAAAGATTGCATATAAGGATATAGTAAAGAAAGAATGAATTAGTTCCTAGAAAGAAAGATATGAAGTGATTTTAATCTCATAGTTTAAGGGAAGATAGAGAGTGTATACACCTACACCACTAGGATCAATTCTGAGCCATGTCACCAAGAATCTCTAACCATTGGTTACGATAGCCACGCGGACTCCAACCAAGTAGTCTGTATCTACCAACATGACTAAGATTAGAAATCACTTTTATTAGTCCAAGAATTGAATATTCTGGATTTCATCTCTTGTGTGAACTGCTGAGGAATTTCAAACTAAGATGAATAAACCTTCCAGTGCTCCATTCGAGCTTGCAGTCCATTTTTACAAAATAATTTTTAAATAAATCATAGTGATCAGTATCATGTTTGTTCAAAACCTGTAGTTTCTGATCATTAGAGTTTGATCATCGATAATAACAAGACAAATATGATATTGGTTACTAATCAGTAATCAATCAGTTGTAAATATCTTATTCCTACAGAATGTTAGTTGTCATCAGAATAGCATTTAACACTATAAAGTTGAGTTACGCGGTTAGTGAAAATTACAAACAAAAAATATCAGTTGCCTCAAGATTGCAGATACTCTTCATGCTAGAGGGTATCAACTAACACGAAATTTAAGCTCATAATTTCCTGTAGATTAACTTTAACTAGAGAACAATACAAAAGTTCAATATTTAAATAAAGTGAAATTGAATTCTGTTGAACTATTTGTGTATAAAATGAAAACTTTAATAATAGATAACTTTCAGTGATATATTGATAATAAATGAGATGTTTACATTCCAAAATAATAGATGTGATCATCTTCTACAGTTGTAGTGAGTATGCCCTAAAATATTCTCATGTGGCCATGGAAGTCCTACTCACTGCCTTCTCACGGCATTACTGTTGTTTATGAAGTTGAGAAGATGAAAAGTGAATGTCAGGCGCTTTAACCAGGCTGGTGGACACAGAGAGTCCACCTAGAGGAGTTGGAAAACCCTCATTCCAAACCAATGGTGCACAGGGGCTCCAGTATCCCAAAGGAACAAATGGTGTATGAACCAATCGTTGGTCATCGGCTACCATGGGACTGCATCTCCTTACGATGCTCCACTGCCTCGTGGATCAGATCTTAAGGTCGAAGACTCTGGGTGTGGTCCCCTAAGAAAACCATCTGATTCGGTTTGGGCACCCGAGCAGTCTCACAGCCCTCACACATAGCAAATGAGATCTGTGTGGCGCATATATATTTGATGCCTCCTTGTACCAATATCTATGTGTTCAAATAAATCAATAAAGTAGTGAGTATGTATGTGCATCACGATCATTATCATTCATTATCATTGCCAACTTGGAGTTGTCATCTAGCAACAACAACAACAACAACAACAACAACATCATTACCATCACCATAGTCACGGGAAAAATGCTTACACAGTGAAATATAGAGGTGAAGTGCCCACCAACATTCAAAATCAAATCATAAGGATACATTTAAATGAGAATAAGAAATAGTAATTAAAAAAAATTGATGGCAAACAGAACTACTTTCTATGAAATTAATTTATGAATGGAAGGAGTAAAGATGAGAACCAAAAGAGCTTTTTTTAAAATTATATCATCATTACCATTGCCAGTTATTACCAGGACGACAAATTACGCATATATAAATATAAAGCTTATTAGATATGAACAAAAAAAACAAAAACACAATTAACGTATACATACACACGCACACACACACACACCATTCATCTGTAACCACAACAACTAAAAAAGAAACTAGTCTAGAATTCAATAAACAAATGAGTAAATAAATAACTAAACATTATTTGACCTTAATTCACATATAATTTCTTTTTTGGTTTTGTTTATGGTTTAATTGGATTATGGTTAACAGTGAGTGGAATAAAGGATGTTTCGTCCAATCTGAGACTCATCAACTGAATGTATCTGTATCTAAGTTTTGATATAAATATTGAAATAATGAAGTGATATATTGGAAGTAACAGGTATTGGATGTATGTAAAATATCAACACATATTGAGATGTTGATACATTCAACTGATAAGTCCCATTGAAATATAGAAATTCAACTTGAATAACTAGATATAAATGAACAGAGAATAAAACTCGTTGATAAGATTGATTATTCCTTGAAGTATGTAAAGGGTTCTCACATTCCTTTTCTGTTATTAGATGAGAAGACATTCCTTTATAGGAGAGATAAGCTTGAAATAGGATTAGGATTGATAGTGTGGTGTGAGTTACTTATATCCACATAAGTAGTATATAACGGTGGTCAGGCATAGAATGTATTTCAATAGAAGATCGATAAGGAAAAAACGGGAACGGAACGTAGCTGGTATGAAAATGCATGAACAATGAAATCTGAGACAATGGATTGATGTTTGTAACAGGAAAAGTCAAATTAACGATTTACTGTATGGTTCTCAGATTTTAGTGAGATGCTCTGTAATTTTGTGTTCAAATATATTCGATTGTCCCCACTCGTGTTCTTGTTCACTACAATAGTATTATAGATCTAATAGTGTAACCAAGTCCAACGGATGACTAGTTGAAACCGGTCACTAAAGTTATTTTCCAAAGTGGTTATATTTGTATTTCTAGCTTGCATTCTTTTTCCAAACTCATAATGAAGAAAGTTTCTTAATCTCACCTCATTCTATAAGCGGGAAAAGTTACTGGAAATGTCTCATCCATGGCTTAAAATCGTTTTCAATGGCTCAGGTGCATCCATTCTGCGTCTTTCCTCAAATTATGACCTTCTAAGTTCTTCATAACTTGCTTTTTTTTTTTTAATTTCACTTATTTTTCTCTTGAATCGTGTATTTGACGCCTAATCTTTTGAATCCCCACTCATACTGTTGCTACTTTTACAACTCTGGAACTTGCCTTAACCATTTCATATATCTTTGCTAATGGGGTATGGCAACATAAACCGATGTACACATGTACCAGGTTTTAGGCTTTGTTTGACTGACTGACTGACTATATCCGGCTGACAAGTCCCAAGTAGGCACGTGTCCTGGATTGTATTACTAGCCACCATTCATCTCTGCTTATAATGACTAGCTGACTATTTCATCCAATTTAATTCGGTTAGATTATTACGATAAACAAATCTAAATATCACATCGGAGTTCAACACTATATCTAGAACAATACAACTATGATTGGATCATCTAAAGTATAAGCACTTACCTTGATCTGATCAATAAAATCGGTTAATCGATATTTATCAACTTGTTTACATGGTCGAATAGTCCAACGATCCCATAAACTGAAATATTTTCCATTTGGTAAACGTGTTTGTCGACACAGTCCTGGTTCACTGAACAAAAGAACCGGTAATGCTAAATTAAGAAAACTATTTTTAGATTTTAGTTGAACTAAACGTTGTTCACAATTAGTTCTTGTTGTTGTAGTTGCCGTCAATGTATTTATTTCCTTTTCAGATGTAAACGAACCAACATGATTATCATCAACATCATATTGATTATTATTAATTACATATTTAAGTAATTCTAAGCAAACTAAACCTGCGACAGTAGCAGTTGTTGTCGCTATAGCTGGTACTATTCGTCCAGCGATACGTTTAACAACATGACGAGCTGTAATCGGTAGACCGTACATTGTAGCACGTAGATTCTACAAGAAATATATGCACAAAAAAAAGAAATGAAAGTTTATTGAAATATTTGACTGAGAAGAGGGGAGTGAAAAGGTTTATAAGACGAAGAAACTAGTAATAAGCAACTGAAGTACCTTTTTAATTGAATGAATGACTCAACACTTTCAAAGTGTTCATCCATAGACTAATAACATCTACAACTTATTACTAATATTGTGTATACGGAGGAATAAATGAAAATAAAAGTGTTTTGAAATACAGTCTTGCTACTTAGAGATATTTGACGGAAAACTGTGGACTTCGGTTTTCATATTATTCGACACTTGTCAGCAAGGTGTACCTGTAATCTTCAAGGGGTTGATGCTTCTCGGCAGATTTGGTCAGAAATGTTACCACTGAGCTATTGGTACAAAGGAGCAGCAAAAAATATATGCGCCGCACAAATCATTCGATGTGTATGCGCTGAGATACCATTCGACTGAAAAATCAGAACAGGTGGTTTCATTACTGGTTCACATTCTGATCCCTTGACTTATAGGTCTAATTCACAAGACAGTGGAGCAACGTTAGGAGATGCAGTCCCATAGTAGCCAGTGACCAACATTAGGTTCATACTCCATTTTTCTTCGAGGATCCTGGAGCACAAATACACCATTGGTTTGGAATAGATGTTTCCTGACTCCTCTATATGGATCCTCCATACCCACCTACCCGGTTTAAGCTCTGAACATTCACTTCTCTTCCTCTCTATTTCGTAAACAATACCCCACCACCACGAGAAAGCAGTAAGTAAAACTTTTCGCTTCAAATTATTTCAGATATACACAAACACTGGAATAGTATTTTCTCATCTAAAGTAGCTGTGAAAGACACTCAAACGCGTACTGTCACCAATTCCTAGTTTCTATTGCCATATTGTCTTAGAGTTTAAATTTGTTTAGTGTTAAGTCATATCGACTATGATAGGTAAGTGCTGAATTCCAGACCTCATATTTACATACACCTCTCACCTTGCATACAACAACAACGACAACAACAACTACCACAAACTGAATGTTATTTTCTTCATAGGTATGCATATTTTATAAATGTGTGTATAGAAATATCGGTATTTAATCATTGTATTGCATTGAGATGACTCACTACATCATTTCCATCACATGGACAATGTATCGGTCATGTGAAAAATCATTTTCTACTATCTAAGCGTTTTCATTCACTCGTTTCTATACTGGTCATATATATTTATCGAATGATTGCATGAATTAAAATATACACATTTTTTTTTTTGTCTGTCAACGCTTGTACTAACAAGATTTAGAGGAATAGTTAAAGTAGGTAAAAGTGTGTACAAACTTATTTCTTTGTTTAAAAGAGTTAATCACATGGTGATAAATGGATGATTCAATATATAACAATTTCGTGGATTGGTTGAAGTTAAACATGAATATCGTTGAATGCCAACCAGCTGTGTGGTCTAGTGGTTAAGCGCTCCCACGCAAGACTGATAGGTCTTGGATTCGGATGTCACAAGGCGGGATCGTGGATGCATAATGCTGAGAAGTTTCACAATAGGACGAAATAGCTATCCAGTGCTCTCAGGTTTTCCATTGTGATCTAACTTCAATTGACTCATGAATTCAATTATTAACAGGCATCAATTAATTAACTTAAGTTTGAACATCTTTTACGTTCTAGTTTAAGATTTCTTCAGCAATACAATCGATCCCATCACATTCAGGTATCGTGACGATCAAATTGCACATTTAGACTATTTAAGTCATTATTCTTAAATGGTCAAAAGATTAACAACTTCAGTAAATTTGTAATATCGTTAATCATTGTAATCAGTCCATCTTAACTAGTTTGTCATACTCATGTCAATGAATGAAGAGTGATAAAAAAAATTGAGGGGATAAGTACAGAGATCCAACAAGATATGTAGAAATTAGCAGAATAGTCTAGAATCTAGAAATCGTCAACAAATACCTCCAATGGATTATGATATGTCACATTAGCTAATAAAGTATAAATAAATAAAGGTGAATAATGTTGACTCACCTATTGTTCAGTATAAATCAAAACATGAATAACACTACATATTACTGTGCAATAACTGTTAAAAGCTTTAAAATTGTTTAGTCAATATATAAAGTATTTAGAAACCTAAATATTGACACATTCATAACAGTGCCCCCAAATGACCTGGTATGGCCGACAGTGGGGAGAGTCCGCTCTCCCTCTCCAAATGCTCTCACATGGCCACGCGTATACAGCCTCTGCCAAAGAAGTCCTACTCACTGACTTATCGTGGCATTACTGATGTTTACGAAAATGAGAGGACGAAAATCGAATATCTGGCACTTTAACCGGATCCCAAACCAATGATGCACATGGGCTCCAGTATCCTGAAGGAACAAATGACGTATGAACCAATCGTTGGTCACCGGCTACCATGGGACTGCATCTCTTCACGATGCTCCACTGCCTAGTGGATCAGATCTTCAGGTCAAAGGTTCGGGGTGTGGTCCCCTAAGAAAACCACCTACTTCGGTTTGTATGACCAAAGACTGACTAAATTGAATCTACTCTCGTTATCATACAAGACTAGAGGGAAATTGATCACATACTCTTCAAGTTAGTGAATTCTTAGGTTTACATTGACATATTTTCAATGGTCATTCAGAATAGACAACTTAAAAAGACAAACACACAAAAAAAAATGTTCACAAGTTCAAGACCAATTACTTATCAGCTGAATACTGATTTCCTTATTGAATTTCCAATAAATGGAACTTTTTATCTCAGCAAGTGTTTACAACTTCTTTTGTTTATACATTCAAAAAGAAGTTGGATGAATTGAGAGATATCTCATATCTATAACTAATAAAGGTCATCTAAACTTATGTTCTTAAAAATAAGACTGAATGTTTTAGTTAGAAGATTCTTCTATAGAATATAAGACACAATGCGTAATTCAATGTCATCATTATGTGAATTACATCCTTATTATTGAACTTCTGCAATTCTTTCACTTCTTCTTCTTCATCATCATCATCATCATCACCATCAGTATACCATCATGATTTCAACTGTTAAACTAAACGAAACTCAAGCGTGAATGAATGAATGAATGAAAGAACAAATGAATGTAAAAACAAAATATGGACGGAATTAGTTGACAACACCAAAAAAATAGAATTGAAAGAAGTATAATCAATAATGCTTATAACGAATAGCATTCACTTATTTTCTATCCATGTAGCAAACAAGAAAAAATATATAAGATAACTAAACAACAACAACAATAACAATGCTAATAGTTTATCTATTCGTCACTACGACTACTACTACTACTACTTATACTACTAATACTACCACTACTACTCTACTAAGTAAGTTTATCACTATAGGCCTGGTAATTTCGATTAGGTCATAATTTGATTGATGAAATAAACTAATGCATATATAGACAAACACTAATGAGTTGCTAGCCATGTTCACTTGTGTGTGTGTGTGCGTATATATATATATATATTTATCTACACACACATAAACACACACTAATAAATAAACAAAACATTTCCACAGCTGACAATTATATGTGTATATGGGCGCGCAAGTGCGTTATTCTATTATGTACGACAAGTATGTCTGTCTATCTATCTATCTATCTATTTATCTATCTATTATTGAATATGTCTATATATCTATCTATATTACTATGGAGAGTTGATTTGATAAAAAGGAAAGTTAACATTTACTTTATTCTCTTTTCTTTTTTTTCTTTTCTCTCTCTCACTCTCTCTTTTTAAAATTATAATTTGTGTAAAATTTATTCCCATCATTTTCATGAGTGACTTTTTTTCTCTCTCTCTCTCTCTCACACACACAGTATTACGAAGATAATAATAATAATAATAATAGAAAATGACAATTCACAATAGTCATTTTCAGTATAGGGGTTATAGAGATTATTTTGAGTTTAGATTAAGTTCTAGTGAGAAATCATAATTAGTGAAGTTTTAACAGTGTTTGTAATAGGAGATAGTAGTTCATTGATGATAATGATGAACGATTGCGTAATATTGTGGATTTGATGAAAATGAGACATTAACATGGTTGGAAGTTTATTCAGTGTGTGACCGGACATTATTAGCAACAACCTATTGTGGGAAAGAACAAATCAGATCCCAGTGTAGGAAGAAATGCTGGAAATAGACGGGACACACATTGAGGAAAGCACCCAACTGCGTCACAAGACAAACCCTCACATGGAATCCTCAACGCTGAAGGAGGAGAGGAAGACCAAAGAACATATTACGCCGAGAAATGGAGATGGATTTATGAACAAGAATTGGATGGAACTAGAAAAAAAAGGCCCAGGACAGAGTGGATTGGAGAATGTTGATCGGCGGCCTATGTTCCATTGGGAGTAACAGGAGTAAGTAAGACTGAAGAACCTGGGTTTGAATCTTGTAAATCGAAATCGTGGATGAGCACTACTGAGGAGTCTTATACTAGGATGAAATGGCTGTCCAATGCTTCTAGGTTTACAATGGTGTTGATCCGTTTATGATATCAATCTAAATACTAATTTAATATGATAATAGAGGTTAAAACAAAAACACTTTTTTTTATAGATTAACAGAGGATTTAGAAAAAAAGTTATCACTAGTGGAATTTGAACTATGTTGAGTGTAAGGGAATGGATGGAACTATAAAACACAAAACTCAATGATCTAAATATAACGTGCTTGCCACTAGATCTGTAGGTCTTACATTTGATCTATAATGAACGGTTTCATACTGACGATGATAAACTAATTTAGCAAAACACTGGTTTATTATACTCAGTTTAGATCATAAATCAAGATTACTTAAGAATAAGAAAAATCATCGTAATTTAAAAGTACACACCGTTACCGATAAAATTCCAAAATTTAGGGTAACATATCCTAGTATAGAAGGTTGTAAAACTTAATGAACCTTCCAATTTTCCATAACCGCTTTAACGTTAGTTCAATAATCGTTAAAAAAAAACCCACAAGAAGCCACTTCTGACTCAACAATAGGGATCCACAAACCCAATCTACAGATGAGAGTATGGCTAGTGAGACTTATTTATTCATTCCCGGTAGAGTTGAACGGCTAAGGAGTTTTGTACTATGATTGTTTAACCAGACTTAGTGGGTGATATAAAATTGATGATAGATTATTTAGTGAATTTATTTATTATATATTTATTTTATTTGAACACATAAATATTGGTACAAAGAGGCATCAAATATATATGCGCCATACAGATCTCATTGGATATGTCTGAGGGCTGTGATACTGCACGGGTGCCCAAACCGAAGTAGGTGGTTTTCTTAAGGGACCACACCCCGAGCCTTTGACCTGAAAATCTGATCCACTAGGCAGTGGAGCATCGTGAAGAGATGCAGTCCCATGGTAGCCGGTGACCAACGATTGGTTCATACGTCATTTATTCCTTCAGGATACTGGAGCCCATGTGCATCATTGGTTTGGGATCCCGTTAAAGTGCAGGATATTCGATTTTCGTCCTCTCGTTTTCGTGAAGAAAACCCTCGCCACGATAAGTCAATGAGTAGGACTTCCCTGGCAGGAACTGTATACGCGTGGCCATGTGAGAGCATTTGGAGAGGGAGAGCGGACTCTCCCCACTGTCGGCCGTACCAGGGCATTTGAAGGCATTTAGTGAATTGGTTAGTGATGTTAAGTTTTTGTATTGAAGTAATCAATGATACATGAATATATATATGATTGAAATTGTATCAGTTGTATTGTATAGTAATATTCAACATCTGTCTAGTTTCTGGTTATTTGTACCTATACAATTGAATTACATACTATGTAAACAATTAAGATTGTTAATATAATTATACCATACAACAAACTATAACATGAAAAACTAAATCGGAATTATTTCATATCAAAATGATTATACAGATGGTGTGTTATAAAGAAATTAGTTAGTATAAGTGATTAATAGTGGAGATTGTAGAAGTTTTACAATGTAGATCATGAACTAATCTTAGATTATGATTGAAAACCTAAATCTTAGTATAAAACTCTTCATCAATGCGCATGCCCTGGTATGTCCAAGAGTGGGGAGAGTTCGCTCTCCCTCTCCAATTGTTCTCACACGACCACGCGTATACAGCCTCTGCCAAAGAAGTCCTACTCACTGACTTATCGTGGCGGGGTGTTGTTTGCGAAAATGAGAGGACGAAAATCGAATATCCGGCACTTTAACCGGATCCCAAACCAATGATGCACATGGGCTCCAGTATCCCAAAGGAACAAATGACGTATGAACCAATCGTTGGTCACCGGCTACCATGGGACTGCATCTCCTCACGATGCTCCACTGCCTAGTGGATCAGATTTTTAGGTCAAAGGTTCGGGGTGTGGTCCCCTAAGAAAACCACCTACTTCGGTTTGGGCACCTGTGCAGTATCACAGCCCTCACACATATCAAATGAGATCTGTGTGGCGCATTTATATTTGGTGCCCTCTTGTACCAATATTTATATGTTCAAATAAATAAAATAATCAATGCGCATTCATCACACTACAAGGGAGAATCAAACATAAGACCTAAGGTATCACACGCGAACGATTAACCAATAGATGAGAGTTTGAAAGATCTTATATTGATTGTAGTTAGATATTAGGATTAGTGGATATCGGCTTAGTGCTCTAGAGGTTAAGCGTTCATGGATGAGGTCAGTTCGTGGATGTGAACTATTAAGGAGTCTCATACTGGGATGAAAAAGAAGTCTAATGTTAGTTTGTGATTTAAACTGTAAAAATTATAGAGATATGTCAAATTATTGCACCCATCTAAATATAAGATTTAAGAGTAATATAGATAAAAGGAAACGAAATCAATTCATGCAAATCATTAATAGTTGATTTAAGCTATTCGTGGATGCGCACTGCTGAGGAGTCCCATACTAGGACGAAACGGCCGTTCAGTTGTTCCAGGTTTTCCATGGTGGTCTAACTTCAATTGAACCATGACTTTAACTATTGATATTCGTAAAAAGTCTAAGTTTCCTATTTGATGTCTTTTACATGTCTACAATTAAACAACTAGAGAATGACAAGTGTGATAGAATATGAATATGGATTTCAATTTATTTTACATCTCTCTACAATATCATATCAAATTTATATTGATGATTCAGATGAAAGCTAACAATAGCGTCTGAAATGAAAGTTTTAATCTATTGGACAATAGCCATCTAGATGATAAATCCATATTTCAGAATGAATATTCACGTTCTGATTCGAAACTGAAACGAGTCGATTCAAACATGAGAGAACTACGTATTACACCATTTGGTTACAATAACCAATACCAAATGTTCAAAACTTGTTTAAAATACTGAATTCTTGGTTAAAAGTAACATCAATATTAAGTAAGTAAGAGAAGAAAAAGTGAACAACTGGCGACTAAACTGAATTGGGGGATACGGAGAGTCCATTTAAGGGAGTTGAAAAATCATAATTTCAGAAAGGTGGCGTACATCTACTCCAGGATCATTTATTATTTTATTTTAACACATAAGTATAGGTACAGGGAGGCACCAAATACATATGCGCCACACAAATCTCAATTGATTTGTGTGAGGGCTGTGATACTGCTCGGGTGCCCAAACCGAAGCAGGTGGTTTTCTTAGGGGGCCACACCCCGAGCCTTTGACCTGAACGTCTGACCCACAAGGCAGTGGAGCATCGTGAGGAGATGCAGTCCCATGGTAGCCGGTGACCAACGATTGGTTCATACGCCATTTGTTCCCGCAGGATACTGGAGCCCATGTGCACCATTGGTTTGGGGTCCGGTTAAAGCGCCAGACATTCGCTTTTCGTCCTCTCATTTTTGTAAACAACTACCCCGCCACGAGAAGGCAGTGAGTAGGACTTCCCTGGCAGGGGCTATATACGCATGGCCATGTGAGAGCATTTGGAGAGGGAGAGCGGACTCTCCCCACTCTCGGCCGTACCAGGGCATTTGGGGGGAACGAATGATGTATGAACCTATTTTAGTCGCCGGCTATCATGGGAACAGATTTCTTGATGTTGCTTCACTGTCTTGTGGATTAGACCTCTAGGTTAAACCATCGAGGAATGGTTCTCCAAGAAACCGACATACACATAAATAGGATGTGTGAAGCATATTATTTTAAATGCTCAGTTACACTAGAGATATAAACCACTGATAATATATGAGAAAAGCTTACTTATGTACTGGTGCCCATATCAAATAGATATAGGATAAAATGCATCATGAAAGAAACCTTCATTCTTTAATTAGTCGGAAAAAACTCTATATTCTTCAAATAATTTGATAATAAAGTTTGTGACTAGAATCTTAAATGATCTTCATGTAAATTAGTAAGTAATGTAGGTATTCACCACGAGGATAACTGCATTGAAGATCGCATGTATATCTTGCTGATGAGTGTCAAATAACATAAAAGCTAGGTTCAGGGTTTCCTATCGACTATCTCCAATCGCTACTTTACATCTCAACACAGTGCACTTGATGTCAATTCATTCAAACTAGCAGTTACATTGCAATTTGATCTATATACTTCGATCAGCACCAAGAAGTACTAGAAAAACATCGATATAAGTCACAGCTCAGTGGTTTATTTAAGTAATCTCCTGGTGATTGACTGGATTATGAAGATGTCAACATCTGGGGGGAAGCACAGGAAACAGTGGACATCTAGGATGCAGTTGGATGATCTACATTTTGCAGATGATCTGGCTCTTCTATCACAAACGAACGACAAATGCAGGAGAAGACGAACAGTGTAGCAGCAGCCGCAGCAACAGCAATAGGTCTCAACATACACAAAGGAAAAAGCAAGATTCGCAGATACAACACAACATCCACCAATCCAATCACAATTGACGGAGAAGATTTGGAAGGGGAAAAAACCTTTACATATTTGGGCGGCATCATCAATGAACAGGGTGGATCTGACGCACATGTGAAGGCGCTGATCAGAAAAACAAGAGCAGCACATTTACAACTGAAGAACATCTCGAACTCAAAACAACAGTCAAACAACACCAAGGTCAGAATTTTCAATACAAATGCTAAGACAGTTCTACTGTATGGGGCGGAAACCTGGAGAACTACGAAAGACATCATCCGGATCCGTTGGCCAGATACTATTAGCAACAATCTACTATGGGAGAGAAAAAACCAGATCCCAGCGGAGGGAGAAATCAGGAATAACCGTTGGAAATGGATAGGACACACATTGAAGAAAGCACCCAACTGTGTCACAAGGCAAGCCATTACTTTAAATCCTCAATGCCAAAAAGAATAGGAAGACCAAAGAACACATTACGCTGATTAATGGAGGCAGACATGAGAAGAATGAACAAAAACTGTATAGAACTGAAAAAGAAGGCAGAGTAGGACAGAGTAGGTTGGAGAATGCTGGTTGGTGGTCTATGCTTCATTGGGAGTAACAGACTTATGTAAGTAAATAAGTCATTGAAGAATGACATTACTTTAATGAATTAGTGAAAAGCAGACGAGGCATTAGGAATTCATATTTCATGTTAAGCCTTGATTTCCCAGAGAATTGAACGAAAAACTGTTCTTTTTTTTCGTTCAGATTCATCACTATTGCTACTTCCCACTTTCAATTGTTGACAGATTTTACAACAAAAAAAAAAAGAAGTTTAATCAAAGTTATTTTCCTTTTACAACAAAAAGAAAAAGAAGTGAAAATAGACAAAACAAAAAAAATCGGGAAAAAATTTTCTAAGAAAAGAAAAGAGAAAGAGAAACACTTACTGCAGCTGACATGACGAAATCAACATGTGCCAAATTGTCATCATCTTTTTCAAAAGTTACTGATTGACATGAAGAAATCACTGAAAGATAAAACATACATACACAGATATAGTCAATTACAATTATAATAAGATAAATATAAGTACTAGTAGTATTGAAGATATTAAAATAGTGTAAAAATCAGTAACAGAGTGCAGTGCAGTTGTATTTCACTATTTCTCCTCCTCTTCTTCTCCTTCTCGTTTTTTCTTCTTCTTCTTCTTCTTCTTCTTCTTCTTCTTCTTCCTCCTCATCTTCTTCTGTCTTTTTTTTAATCTTTCGATCTCATTCTTGTAAACATTATTTCTTATTTTGAAGTTCTCATTACATTACTATTACTATACAGGCTGGAATTTTGACTGACTATAATTAGTAACCTGACATGATAGTCGAGATACTCCATTGCAATGATTCAATTGAGTTTTATTGGTTTGTTTATTCAAGTTTTCTATATCAGAAAGATTAATTGAAAAGCCGTAAAACTAAAAAAAAAAGTGCAAATGTGAGGTTACAGGGTGCAGTCGTAGTACAGATTATGTCAGAGTGTGATAGTAGTACACTGTTCTTTTCAGACAACCAATAACTTCAGGGTCAGTGCCTTTCTATAGTTGAAAGAGATATCAGAAAAGGTCAACCTGAAAAATAACACATATTTCAATTTGTCCAACAGATCTTTGGTCCTGGTTGTAATAATTGAAAATTATAAAGCCAGTATATCAAAAGCAATTAACAAAAAGGCCTACTTTCAAATTCGCTTAGTTTTTAAGCTACAGAGTATTCTATTAGAACTTTAAAACATTCAATACAAATTAAATGGATCAATGAACAGAACACGTTTAGACATGGTTGCTTTTTTGAAAAGTCATCATCTATGTCTAAATGAACACTAACTAGCTAGTAAATGCCAAAATATGGTATCACTTATATTAATTTATGCGAACAACAATGGAAATGAGTTCAAATAGAAAAGGTCGAAATATTGAACAAAGCAAGGCACAAAGAAAGCCAGAGAATTTATCAAAACTTAGCACTCTAACACCTCTAATATAGACAACCTAAGCAACAACTATTTTCCACCATCTGAGGATATATATTGCGTAGGCCCGACCATAATTTATCTCGACGCGCGATATTGGCTGAAGTAATAGTATTTTGGGAGAGAGTAATAGGTTGGTTAAACCAAGACACTACATTATCCCATAAAAGGATTGATTGTTGGACTAAACTATGTTGGTGAGTGCAGACTACCTAGTTGGGGTTCATACAGTAACTTTGACCGATGACTGGAGATGTGAGATGATATGGTTCAGAATTTGTCACAATAGCTCAGATCTTTTGAATTTCTATTCTTCTGAAATCATATTGCCTATATTCATTAGTGACATTGTAACACCGGACAATACAGTACACATCTGGCAACGTATAGTAGACTGTACACGAGTAGAAAACATACAGAAGAGGTTACTATAAAATATAGAATATCTTTATAGTATATATGGGTCGCAGATAGTAGTTTTAACCTATGTAAGTCTCGTTAATAGGATGTACTTGCACATTCGAAGTGTTGATATTCTAACTTAGTACCTTACGGTTCAAATGGTAACGTGTTACCCACTGAACTACTGCGTACAGGTATACCAATAAAGGTTGATCAAAAACTCAGTCCTGAATATTAACAACAGGATAATTCAGACTTTTACAATAATAATGATTATTCATATTTTTGATCTCATTATCAGTTAATTAAACACGAAATAGTCAGAATTTTGTGCAGTCCTAATACTTACTTACTTACGCCTGTTACTCCTAATAAAGCATAGGCCACCGACCAGCATTCTCCAACCCACTCTGTCCTGGGTCTTCTTTTCTAGTTCCATCCAATTCTTGTTCATGTTTCTCAGGTCTATCTTCATTTCTCGTTGTAATGTGTTCTTTGGTCTTCCGATTCTCCTTTGGCATTAAGGATTCTAAGTGATGGCTTACCTTGTGACACAGTTGGGTGCTTTCTTCAATGTGTGTCCTATCCATTTCCAGTACTTCTTCCTGTTTCTCCCTCCGCTGGGATCTGGTTTGTTCTCTCCCATAGTAGATTGTTGCTAATAGTATCCGGCCAACGGATCCGGATGATGTCTTTCGTAGTTTTCCAGGTTTCCGCCCCATACAGTAGAACTGTCTTAGCATTTGCATTGAAAATTCTGACCTTGGTGTTGGTTGACAGTTGTTTTGAGTTCGAGATGTTCTTCAGTTGTAAATGTGCTGCTCTTGTTTTCCCGATCCGTGCTTTCACATCGGCATCAGATCAAAGTGCTAATACTACTACTACTTATATTATTATGATTATTCCAAGTGCTGGTGGGTGGCCTATGCTCCTCCACGAGGAGTAACAGACGTAAGTAAAGTCCTTAGTGACTAAAGTAAATTTCTGATAACAAGATGTTCAATAAAACAAACAAAAGATAGTCAATACTTGCTACATGTCAAACATTCAACTATGTATATTAATACCGCAATAAAAAATCAGATTAGAATGATGAAAAACTCAGGATTTACACAACTTCTTTCAATAGACTGCCTTGTTTCTTATCTCTCTCTTATCTACTACTAGTTCTTGAGATGGCTATGAAAACAATCATGAATATCCCAAAACTACCCCCCACAGCCGACCACATATTGATCAACAATAAGAACTGGACAAATATGAAACTGATTGTTATTTATCAGTTAGTCAACGTAAACACCTAAATACAATGAGAGATCAGGTCTATAATAACATCTCAGACAGTAACGTTGTACGATGCAAGTTCGAGAGCTACAGTGTGCATCAGTTTCATCAATATTGCAGATACACCTTGTGAACGAGTGAATTTGGTCGATATTGCCATTTTCAGATAATAATGTAATAGGTGACCGAAGTGATAAGTATTGGGTTCGAGTGTCAAGGTGGATATCAAAACAAACTCATTACCTCAAAAAATCGGAGGACAAGATACAATAATGTTATTATTGTTCACCAAATCAGTAAAATCGAAAGAAAAAATCATATCAAGGACGAATTGAACTTAGCCTGATAAAAAGAAGACAATATTGACTCATTTACCAGACCTAAATTTATGTACAAGATTTTGAGCCAAATACAATACTCAAATCTTTACAAGACACTGAAGACTAAATAGTTTGATATTTGATTAAGAGATATCCGGAATCTAGTTTAATCTTGTAACGGTAAATAAATCCCAAAAATAAATAGCTCTGTAAGTTTTCGACATTGGATGCTGACCACATTAGTTTTAATGGACTCATCTAGCTGAAGGAGCTCGGTCATGCATCCGTACCAGATCATGTATAGGAACGCCGTGCTCAACATCTACTGCAATCGCTAGCTAGATTAGTTCAGACGATCATCGATATATTGATAGCTTATCAAATATATCGTCGAACCTCCTCGCTTCTGTCTTTTGATTTCACTTGGTGGGTACGTTTCATATTGGAAGGTGTTACTGGTTAAAACGTTGTCAAACTCTGGATACCTGAGGCATCTTCAATCTGTCACAGACTAGCATTAAATAAGGTTTGATCCCTAGTGACATCATGAATGTGAGAGACATCCATAGTAAAACAAAATCTACGAGTAAAGTGAGTTCAATTAAATGAATGAAAAGTTGTATGAATATAGGATAGTAAGAAGAAATTCAAATAGCTCATAATTTAGCACTGTCATTTATCAGTACTGGTACGTATGCTGGTGAGAGATCCTATTGAAATTATTATTATCATCAACCAATATCAAAGTCACAATCTTCAATACGAACGTCAACACAGTTCTAATGTATGGAGCTAAAACTTGGAGAACTACTACAACCATCATCAAGAAGATACAAGTATTTATAAATAATTGTCCATTGACCGGATACCATCAGCAACAGTCTTCTGTTGAAGAGAACAAACCAACTTCGGGGTGTGGCCCCCCTAAGAAAACCACCTGCTTCGGTTTGAGCACCCGGGCAGTATCACAGCCCTCACACATATCAAATGAGATCTGTGTGGCGCATATCTCTATTTGGTGCCTCCTTGTACTAATATCTATGTGTTCAAATAAATAATATAAATAAATCCAGCTGAAGAGGAAATTAGAAAAAGACGATGGAAATGGATAGGACATACATTACACACAAATCATTAAACTGCATCACGAGGCAAGCACTAACTGGGAATCTTGAAGGGAAGCGGAAAAGAGGAAGGTGAAAGAACGCATTACATTGGGAAATAGAATCAGATATGAAAAGGATTAATAACAACTGAAAAGAATTGCCCAGCACAGGTTTGGACGGAGAATGCTAGTGAGCAGTCTATGCTCCTTCACGAGAAGTAACATGCACCAGAAGAAAGCATTATTATTAACATAGCAACTAGATTTTAGTGTATAATTCTTTCTCATCATTAAACAGATACATATGTATAAATGTTTGTATAAGTGAGCAGAAAAGAAAGAATATTATCCAAATGTATCTGATAGATAGAATATTGAAGTTCATATGATTGGTTTAACAAGTTTATATTATTCTATAGACAGGCTTAAATAATTCATCTTTATGTATGTACAATAATGTATATACATCGAACTCATTTGATGTTGACTTGATTTCATCAGCAATAACTTGTATAACATCGCATTTATTCTTATCCATACCCAATACAACCAACAAATCAGTATCATACATATGAATGTATCAATTTCTATGACTTAAAGTAGGTGTGTGTATAGGTAAATGATGTGAATGATGAAATGTTGAAATAGAGACTATTGAAATTAAAATACAAGACACTACTATAGATACTCATATATACATATATAAGCATGTGTATATACATACAGGTTATACATAAACTTGAATAATGACTGGAAAAAAGTCAACCTTTTATTTTGATACTACAAATAGGATTGGAGTAAACACCTATCTAATTGATCACTGATATATTCTAGTTGTTTCAATAGTTGAGATCATAAGTCGTTTCATCCTAGTATGGGACTCCTTAGCAGTGC